TCAAGTTCCCAAGTTAAAAATAAAAAGTTTACTGTTTTTTCCATTAAGTACTCGGTGAAATGTGGAAATGTAACACAGTAAAGCTTTATGCCAGATGTCTTGAGTATTCTGAATTAAGGGGAAATGTCCCAGTTCCTTTATTGTATTGTTAATCTATTTCTAGGCCTGGTAACTTTTAAAAGTTCCTTCTTTCTTCTTTAAAGGATTAAAGAAACATTTTATCCTGAGATCCCAAATCCTGAGAACAGCAAAGCACTGCAGTTTCAGAAGAACATCTGCAAAGTAAGCCTCCTTTTAAACTTGGTATTTTAAACTTCTAAAAGCTTTTGTGAGTAGAAGAGTCTTTTGCAAACTTTGAGTCTTCTGCTCCACTTGTAAATTAACTGTGGCAGGGGAGAACAGCCCAAGTTGCTGAGTTACTTTTGTCAGATGGTATCTGGAGCTATCGTGTTGTTAATGTGGTTGCTTGAATAAGGAAAGCACTGCTGCAGTTCTGTTGTCTCACACTAATAGCACATCTCAGTAGACAGGATAAGTTCCTGATATAGTTATCATCTTCCTCACAGAAAGTGGGGAGAAATGTGTGCCCATGTTCCCAACTTTCTGGTGCACTTAATAGCTTGACCTAAGGGTAACATTTAAGTAATTTTCTGAAGTGACTTATGCAAAGCAGAGATTTGGGGAAGCAGATCTGAAGCACTTCCTGCAAAAGCTGGAGTCTCTTTCAATTAACTGGAACACTTTTATGTTAACAGGAATGTGTGAATATTTGTGAGATTGAGAATTAAATCACTTTTTTGTATTGTATTAGTAGTAATGGAATGAGGGCAAAGCCGCAAGCCAACATACTGCATTAATTCAGGCAGGCTGTTGCTTTCAGGATTTCCTGATCTCTTTGCTTAGTCTTAGTCTCCTTTTTCTCATTTCAGGGGAATAAGACACTTAAAACACTGGAAATGAACCCCTGCACCCCCAATAGTGTTGAAGTGGTGGAAACACAGTCTGCTGCTCCCAAGATAGAATACACAGAGATGATGTCCCCAGCCGCAGACACCGTGCCCGAAGATGACTCTGACTCAGAAAATGAAAACCATGTAGTTGTGTCCTATTGCCCCTCTATTGTTGAAGAGGAGATCTCAAATCCCCCTATGGATGAACCTGTGGGGTCATCTCAGGTGGTTTACATTGACATCCAGTCAATGTATCCGCCTCAAATTGAAGCAGAGGAGGAGCCAGAAATAGACTTTGTGACTACAGCAGGCTACAAGCCACAAATGCAGCTGCCTATCAGTGCTCTGAAAAGAGAGTCTCGCTCAGCTCCAGAGAAAGAATCAGATGAAATTGCAGGTTACAGACCTCAAGCAAACACTAATGCCTGGAACATGGACACTCCAGACTCACCTGGATCAGTTGAAAGCAACAATGAAAATGCACCTTTTGGTAGCCCGTGCTCCATTAATTCCCGACAGTTTTTGATCCCCCCAAGGGATGATGAAGACTCTCCCAAACCCAATAACACAGGATGGTCCTTTACACACTTTTTTTCATAACAAACCAAATGATTAACAGTGGGTCCTCATCACACCTGAACCTGCCTTCTAAATAAGCTCTTATTCCTGATGTGGTAAAGAAAGGAGGAAGAAAAGTGCAAAAGGCACAAATTATTCTTGGACACAGTCAGCAGAGGTTCAAGTGAGCTGAATGTTACCATGTTTAAGTTAGTGTTAATGTTCCATTTTAAGAGAGACTAAAAGGCCAAAGTTATAGCCATTTCATTATTATTCTAGTAAAATATATTGGATGTAAGGGGTATTGAGTTTAGATCTCCTGATAATCATAGTCAAAGAACTCTGCCTATCTTCACATAGTGTTCCAAGATTAATATGGTCTCATATAACTTATAACTTAGAAAGATTGCTTTGCTTTGCTGTAGTTGTTCTCAACTGTGCATACTCAAAAGATGTAGCCTAAACAGGTTTACAAACAGGTTTAATTTATCACAAATCTCAGCCTTAACACATAGAAACAGCATGGTTGGAAAATCTTGAGTGCTTTCACCTAGTCGGAAATTAAGAACATTTAAAGAGCTACTTTTTTCTCTCATGTGGATGAGTATTGTCACTGTATAGCACTTCTTAAGCAATGGCCATTCATATCTGTTGCTTTTTAACTAGACACTAGTTTCTGTACCTACTGTACAATGTTTATTCAATGTTTGACTCAGGGGTACAAACTTGGAGAAAAAAAAAAGTGTAACACTGATTTAAACCTCAACGAGATCTACGTCAAGTTGACAACTTTTTTTTTTAATTGTTAGAATGCTCTATATTTTTTTCTATCATTTGATTAAGGAGTAAATATTTCCTAATGTATTGCACTAATGCATTTTGTATTTTTATAGCTTCAACTCCAGATCTCTTGTCTCCAAGTGGTACAATATTCCTTTTTCCCAGTGTTCATCAGACTTTGTTTATACTATACACCAATGTAAGCCACGGGGAAAACTACATCTACTAATATCAGTTGACCAAACCGTTTGGCACTCAAAATTAGAGACAGTAATATTAGCTCTTTTAGAACAAATTGCTCCTTGGATTAGCTTCACTGTATTAGCTTTGCCACCTGCTGCCTGGCTCTCCTTCACAGTATCTATGCAACAAATCCTACCTAGGAGTACTAGATGGGATTTTTCTGCTGACAGGAAGAAACCCAAGGAGGTTTTGGTGCCGCTAATGCTACCTCTCCTTTACCAGTCATGTGATGCAAAGATAGCTTAGATGATGTAAATTTGTGTGCTTAAAGAAATCTTCAGAACAATCGTCTTTCTTTGAAAACTTTTGTTTTCACATGCACACCTTCAGGCAGCTCTGATTGATTGATTGTAACATTTCACTGTGCAAACTTCAGCTCTGACACGCACATAGCTTACATAAGAAAGTGCATACATTACATAACATAAGAAACTTACCTTTTCCTTAGCGTCAAACACAATAGCGAGAGGTTGTATGTTAAAGCACTTGCTCAGAGAGGGCCTCCATAATGTTCTACCTGAATGTTTGGGTTTGTTTTAGGTTTTGATTTCTGAAACTAGTTTGTGGCTTTTTAAATTAATAAGTTGAAGGAATGGATTTCTAAACAAAGGGGAGGCTGAATTTGCAAAGCTACATGTTCTGAAGGAGTGTGAAGGACCAGGAAGATGGGTAGCTTGGTAGACCTGTGGTCCACAAAACCAAATGGTCTGTCTGTGAAAATAAATCCAAGCATTGTGTTTGTGCCATCTCCATAGAACTAAAGAATAGGGAGTTTTCAAAACTGACAAAAAGTCAAAAAAGTAAATAGCATCCAAATCCTCATCAGTCCTAACTGCTTGTGAGCGGAATGCTCAAGTTTGTGTATTCACCAATAAGGGGATTTTTCCCACAGTCTGGCTGAAGAGCAGGACAAAGGGAGGGGAGAGACTGAGTGAAGCCATGAGTGAGTGGGACAAAAAGAGCATCTGCCAAGAGGTGGGGGCCTTTACAAAGGAGGGAAATAAGGGAATTCCCCCACATTCTTCAGCAAGGGGGACAAAGGATTTGGTGAGCTCAGATGAGAACAGGAGGCAGGAGTTTGGTGTAGGCGGGCCGGGAAGGCTGTAACTTCTGAGTACCTTGGCCAATGGGGAAAAGGAGAGGGCATCCCTCGGTCGAGAGGGGGAGG